CGCAGTGATTACAACAGCTGCCGAGATACTGCATTAACATGTAAAGCGACCGCTCATCCAGCTCTACTCGGGTACATCAACACGACGACTCAGGCTCACATGTGCGCGAGTGCCGACCGCCACGTGTCTCACCGGCTCACGGGCGATTCATCGAAAGGGACGGCAATTAATATAATTGCCTCTCATTTACTCAGACTATATATACATCTCATTTTGTTCACCGCTCATCACTCTCAGGTCAGATTGTATCAATTTTGACGCATTAGAGACGCATTAAAGACGCATTAAAGACGGCTCAGACTGTGGTCTGAGTTACACAAAAATAAAGTGAATATTTAGTTAACACCTTCCACGCGCGTCCTTCTCATCCCGCTTCCATCGCCGGGATTAATCAGCGATTTCGCGAATATATATACATATATGTATATATGTAGGTCCAGAGGTATGTTCCGGGACTGTTTACGCATATATATGTAATCAGATTTAAAAAACTGTCCCGAAAATTGCCGTAGGACATAAATTTTTTCGAGGACAGTCCTGGAAACTGCCAAATGTCCCGGAATATACCGATATCAAAAATAAAAGTCCCGGAACATACTTCCAGACCTACATATGTATATATGTATGTATCCACACACACATACACACATTAATTGTTAAACGTATTGCACACGCGTATTGCAAATTAATTAAAGAAAATAGCAATTTGTACAAAATAGTTATAAAAAACTATAGTTATAAAAAACTAATGTTGAAATTTTAATAAGGGTCTTTACTCAAATTTTGTAAAAAAAATTCTCAGATTTTCTAGAAATTTTACTCCAAATTCACACTTTTGCATTGTTTAAAAACACAAATGATTCAAAATGATCAAAAATGAAATAAATTCACAAATTGCATGTGCAAATGCAAATGTTTACAATAAAGAATATGTTTTATTTTATATTGGTTCTTTTCGTGCCCTTTCTTTTGCACGTCTCAGCCAAGTTCTAATGACTTGCTCAACTTTTTTTCAATTTTCCGCTGCTTTGATCGCGTATAAAGCTGGGTCTAATCAACCAAATCTTAAAAAATTATATATGAAATAGGGGTAGAAAAGACTGAAAAATATAATAAAATTAGAAATAGATTAATATCTCCAAATTTGCGGAAGTTAGAGCAACCATGGACATTTCTTAAAAAATACAAAATTTTTTTAAAAAAGAACCTCTTTACCGATCATCGCCAAATTCAATACCAACCTTCCTTGAATGATACTCTATCGATTAAAAAAAAAACAGCCCGATATCTTAATATTTGCAGAATAGTTAGAGCAACCACGGACATTAAATCTGCACATACACACACACAGACATTTTTTTTAAGCGATATTTCAACGTTTTACAACGATCTGAACATATTGGCAGAAAAAACTCAAAAACCAATCTCTTCGTTGGTTTTTTCTACTCCTATTTCATATATAATTTTTTTGAATTTGGTTGATTAGATCCAACTTAAACGCAATCAAAGGTTCATATACGAAATTCACAAAAACAAAGCTTCCTCTATGAGGAAGCAACATAATATAAACAATTATATATTTGAAATATAACTATAGTTATAGTTATTATACAGGGTACCTCTAAAGTCTGACCCAACGCCCTGGATCTCGGAAACGGCTTTAGATATGGAAAAATGTTTCAGATAAAAGTTGTAGGATATAAAAGAGGACAGATGATGAAAATATGGACTTGACCTCGAATGACCTTTTCAAAGCCAAGTCAATGTGATCCAAGTTTTTTTAAATGAAACCCCTATTTTTTATTACATATTCTTGTAGCTCTTGTCGAGACGTTTTCAAAACACTATAATAAAGCTCTCTTTCATTAAGGACTTCGTGAGAAAAGTGAATACTTTACGAGATATTTCATATTTTATATTAAAAATATTGTTGCACTCCGGCGATTTTCCGACACTCTCTCCGCACTCCCGCCCTCACTTATTATTTTGTACTGTTACTTCTTTAATTCTTTCTAATTAAAATGATTCTTTGTAATATTAAAAATTTGTTAAAGAGAATTAAGAAGCTATTACCACTTGTGTTGGAATAGGAAGACCCTTGAATAGGAACACAAAGATACCACTTGGGTTTAATTTTTTTAAAGTAGTTGCACAACAATTATTTTTCAAAGCAATATACATATTTTCTTTACAATTGGCGCAATTTAATTTAAAGATTTCACATCTTTTTTTAAATACATGTCACTTAAATTAAGTTAGGTAATATAATTTTGTGAAGAAAAAATAAAGTTACCACTTGGATTTTTGAATTTACAAAATACATTGCGTGTACTTGGCGCCTTTTTTTTACCTTTTTTTAAAAAGGTAATTTTGCACTGATTAGACTTACCAGATGATCCTAAGGATCAAGAAGACTGATCACAAATTGTGCCATCAGCAGCATTCTATGACGCACCAAGAGAACGTATAGAAGATCCGAAGCAATCTAGTATGAGTGGAATAAAACTTTTTCTACGAAGTTAGTTGGTGCGCTCTTTTTAATAGCTTGTGTTGTCATGGCCATTATGTTTTACCATCAGGAAAATAGTAGAAAACGATTTTATTAATTGTAAGTCAGATTTTAGGTAGTGTATGTGTGTGTCTTGAGCGTCGCAGCTTACCGATTTCTCATCTATTCGAGATTTTATGTATACAAAGCGTAAATTACGAAATGCTCATAAGACTGTCTTTATTTAGTTTCTATTAAATAATTAGTATAAATATTTTTTTTCTATAAGAATAAAAGTCTTCAAGGTAAAGGAGAGACATGTATGTGTGTGTGCGCGTGTGTGCGTGTGTTCGTGTGTGTGTGTGTGTGTGTGTGTGTGTGTGTGTGTGTGTGTGTGTGTGTGTGCGTGTGTGTGTGTGTGTGTGTGTGTGTGTGTGTGTGTGTGTGTGTGTGTGTGTAAATAGAAGTATTCTAATTTCAATATTTGCAGAATGTTGCCCCATTGGATTAATTGTCGATGTCATTGTGATTGGGCTCAATATACATTTACTTGATTTTATTATAGTCATACATATCTTCACGTCCTTAGGTCGTATAGCTTTTAGACCTAAAGTCATATGTCCTTCCAACATAAGACTATCTAGTAGGTCATGTTCTAAGAGCAAGTGTCCTAAGGTTGTCTATTTCTGACCTTAGGACACCTGTCCTTAGAACTTATGTAAGGACATGGTTTGGACCAGGAATGTCAATATCTGAGCTCATATATTTCCTCACATACGTTAACTTGTACTCATGATGTGTATCATCACAATATGATCACAAGACATATATACATCACATTTCTATCAATATCAGAAGATCATGACGTGATGAAATCTGATCATCAAGCATGGCTGTCTGGGTAATTTACTGATTTTTTTTTTAGCAATTCTACATTTACCAACATTTTAAATTATATAGAGAGGTTATCCAATTAAGGTTTCTCTCCTGCATTTACATTCATCGATTAGATTAGATTTATTTTATAAACTTATTTTGGCCAGCATCAAACTTTTGTAATAATTCTAACACACGATCGTACAAAAGAATTTTTGCGTCGATTGCCCACAGGTAATCTACGTGATTGAAAAGTTTAAATGGAACTTCCTCAGTTAAAAGAACATTTGGTAAGCGTTTGCCAAGTTCCAACACATTCTGAAAATCAAAAACATAATGAAAAGAACGGTATTAATAACGAGATGATTTAAATGTATGAAGAGTAAAAAATAGATTCGATTGATATAAGTCAACTGTATTTCCTTTTACATTACATTCAAACAGAATCTTTTAATTGTTAACAAATTATATAATCACCATTTTGTCATGTTTATATAAATATTTCTTTCTTTTGGTTTTATTTCTGAGTAAAAATTAGATAATAAAAAACTTAACGGAGAAGTATTACCTCTTCTAAGATAACCACATCGTTTGTTGAGTAAAATAAAATTATTGGAGCAGTAATCTTTTTGAGATCATAACTTGGAGGTGTTTTCTGTTTGTATCGCTTGTAGTTTTCAGCTATCCCATAATCATAGTTTCGGAAGTCCTCTGCAACAATCGATGTTAATCACATTTATAAATATGTCCAAATTAAACTTGACAAGAAATGTTTTATTGCAATATTACATCAACCGGGATATTGCTTTATAAAAGGAAATATTATTTTATAAAAGGGGGAATACTTACTCACACGTATATTTTGATAAAAATGCTCTAATGTTTGTACAGAACTACCGGCTGGAACATAGGATAATATTTCTGGCAGGATTGTCTATAACAGAAATAATTTATATAGATAAAAAGTTATAAAGCGATTAACTGGAAGAGGAGGATAGGGGGTGGTTAGAGCCACCATAGTAAGTTTATTTAATTATAAAAAATTTTAAATTTTAAATAATATCTATAATAAAAAGTATTTCCGCACACATTATAAACATTGTATTACGTTTGTCTTTTGTGTGGTAAAACTTACAGTGTTAAGTTGTGCTGGATCAGGACCGAACATTGAGAAAAATGCAATAACGCAAATAAATTGAGTTAACGTATTGTCATTACACAACAATCTTCCTGCCGTACCAATCGCTAAAGATTGTGGGAAAACATCGTATATTTCATGTTCTCGTAGAACTTCCTGGAACATGTAAAACAAAGAATTCAAATATTAGCCCATAATATAGCTAACAATATTAACACATTAAATAATAAAAATTATTGTTTAATCTTCTATTTTAAACACTACTACTTGCAGTATAAAATTACAGATTTTTACCTTCACTGTTGGAAGAAGGTTAGCAAATTCGTTAAAGGCAGGTAGTATTTTTACCCAAACAGAAGCTGCAGGAGCCAGACAAATAGCCATTTTTATTTTTATATTGTATTCCGGTTTTGATGACAGAAAAGTGAATAGCTCAGTAACCCCCATTGAATGGCCGATATAGTATAAATCTTTTTGCTTTGTATAATTGAAAATGTAATCGAACATAGCTGGCAGATCTTTTGTTCCAATCTCGTGAAAGCTAAAAAATAAAAATTACTTATGATATTATTTCACAAAACATATTTTCTCGTCTTCCCTCCTGTTTGACAAATGCACGCAATCAATTTACAGTGAGAAAAAGAGTAAAAAATAAAATTTACAATCTGGTTAATGAAGAGAATACGGTGCAAATTTTATAATGTTTACAAAACGTGTTATAAGTATAATATATCCTTCTTTCTTCATTTTTATATGTTTTACGTTTTCATTGCATATTCTTTTAGAAATGTTTAACTTCATGTTTATATCACTTGGTATAGTATACTATATTTAGTACAGGTAACGATTCGATTACATTATTATTTGGCTACAAAAATATCTCGTTTTTAGACAGAACATATTATACTTTTGGTTTAAAATGGATTTATCAACTTAAAATCTGATGTTCCATCAAAATAATTTTTAATGATAATGTTTTACCTATACTGCCAGAATTTGGGGTCGTATATCGTCATATTCACATGCGATCTGCAGTAACTATTTCCTCTCACGTTTCCTATCCATACGTCATATCCTTGATCTGCCAATAAAAATACTGCAACATAAGAAAATAATAAGTGTTAGTGTATTATATGAAGAATGTGCCAAATTCGAGGAAATAAATATCCGTTATTTTTTTCTGAAATATAAAATCAATTTTTTAAAAGCATTATTGTACTTCACAATTTTTAAATACATATATAATCAAATGTTCCGACTGACTTATCAACGTCCAGCCTAAACCCTTACGTTTAGAAACATGAAATTCGGGGAGTATATTTCTTCCATGACGTAAGCACTCACTAAGAAGGGATTTTTAGAAATTCAAAACCGCCTAACAGAGTGAAAAGGGGTAAAATATGTTTTCCATATTTCTTAGGCCTGCTGAAATATCGATTTGGTTTTTGCTTACAAAGGTTACCATACAAGTGCTTAAAAACATAATTCAAGATTTTCCCTAATCAACCCCTAAAGGGGCAAATCTAAATTCGGGGGTGAATTATAGAATCCTTCGCATACCGTAGCGAAGCACGGGTGTATCAAACTAGTTTTTAATATTTGATTAAGCTTCAAATTCTATTTAATTCCACTTTAAATTGAAGAATAACTACCCACACAACAAAATATATTACCAAGATATCTAGAAGATATCTGAATGACGGAATATTTGATTGCGTAAGATATCTTGAGAATATCTCAGAGACATCTCCAAGATTATAAAAAGCCATGATAATTTTATCTCAGATATGATACCTGATTCTGCATAATATGTCGGATATCTATGCCTCATTTAAAAGCAGATATGTTACATACAACCCAAATAGCAAGAAGAAAAAAAGAATTTTTTTTAAATTCTCGATTTATGAAATTAATTCTTTTTCCGTATTTATTCTCTGTTCTAAAATGATTCTTAAAAGTTCATAAGAAATTTATTTTTATGTTATCAATTCTGAGTCCTTTTTCAAATATAAAAGAAGTTCTTTTCATAAGAATTCGCAATACATTCAAAATTATGCTTCAATACTAATCCAATATTTTGCATTTTGCCATCTCTGCACTGTATAATATCTCGGAGGTATCACGAAAAATATTAGAGCCAAGTATCTTACAGGCTCGTCTTTTATCCTAGTGCGTAAGGATTTTTGCTTACAAGAAGGTATTGGCGCATGTAGCCGCGTCGCTGCAGCTCATGTTACTAGCGCTCGCCCGAGCAGAAATGTTCTAAGTCCCCTTGCGGCATGTTGCTTTCGCGCCGCGATTATTGTTACCTCCAGCGCCGCCCGAGTGAAAATTTTCTAAGTTCCCTCGCGGCGTATGGCTTTCGCCGAATCGGTACAGCGTCTAAGTCTTCTCGGATTGTTTTATTAGCTATGAATAAACTTGAGTTGATCTTTAGAAAATATAAGAGCTAACTATGCGGTCATATATTTGAATGCAAATGTTGCAGAGATCTCTTTTTCAAAGATATAATGTGATATCGAGTAATGATGTCCTGTAGATATTCCGTAAATATCTGAAAATAAGATATCTCAGATTTGACTTAAAATTGTAGGCATAAAGATATCTGGCTATATCTCAGATATATTTTGTTGTGTAAGTATAGATGTTCCATTATGTCTTTACAAACTTTTTTGAAATCCAACTTATGAAAAAGTCCTTTATTTCCAATAGCTTGAAAATTTATATTAAAATATTAAACAGTATTGCCTCAACATTTTTATATATAAGAAGGAGATTCTAATTTTTAATATAGCACATTTACAAAAACATCATAGCATTATAATAATTTTCATATTACAAGGTTTGAAGATAAAGTCCTTTTTACAAAAACACTATATACAGTGAAATTTTACACGATGCTTTGAATTGATTCGTACGTTACATTAACAACCACATGTTATCAGTAAATACGTACCAAGGTCTTTACCAGGTCCGCGCAATACCCAGCTATCGGATGAAGCAAAAAGGCCGTGTTGCATGAATATAATTTCCTTCTTTTTTTTGTTATCCAACAATAGACTTCCAGGTATTCTGTGTATTTTCAAATTGTAACCATCCTCCGTTGTGACGTTATGCTCCTCAGCAGGATAATCGTATTGTTCTACCAGGCCAATCTATGTAAAAGAATATATAACATCCACAGGCTATCACAGTTTCATCTCTGTTTTAATTTCTATATATTTTAAATGTCAAAAAATATATTTATACAACATTCAAGACACTCTTTTGGTTTAACAATTTATTGAATTTATTACAAAATACACGTAAATTCAAGACTAAAATTGAAAACAATTTTTACTCACGAAATCCAATACTTTTCCATTGTTCATTTCTTCGGCTCGATCCATTCTTCTTACTCTCACTAAACCAGGGTCCTTAGGGAAGAGAAAATTTAGGAATTTGTTTTGAAGAAACAATGGTATGACCTGCGATCTTCCTTCTGAGAACGTCGTAATAATTAAAAATGCAAAAAACATGGATTTCATATCTAATGTATTCATATCAACTTATGACAAAATAGATTGTAAAAAAGTCGTAATTGTCGACAATGTCACTTAAAATACTTTTCGTGAGGCAACTTGTTCCTACAATGCGGCCTGCAATGAGAAACAAACGCGATGAGTGCTGAGTCAACAATAATTTAAAAACGTTATTTTAACAGAATTTCAAATTTCTGTCGTAAAAATGACAAAGTATAACTTAATACTTCTACAAACAAGTTTTGAAAAGTAATGGATTTGAAGATAATAATCGAAATGCACATATGCACGAGCCAATTTAAATTTTTATAAATTTTCCAATAGGAACTATTAATGTCACATTTTACTTAAATATATAATTTAAAGTGGTATCAGGTGTGAAATAAACAAAATATGAAACTCAAAGATTTAATGTACCTATAATGTAATATAGTTAAATATAATATATGCGTATAGTTCACCGGTAAAAATGAAAACTAGAATAAAGAGAATAAGAGTAGATGAGTTGGGTAAACTTCCAAAAATCATTCTTGTCGTATATTAAGAGAAATTTTTTATATTCGAGATATTTTAGACCAATATATTTTTAAAGTAAGTTGCCCTTTTAATAAAATTTTTAGAAATCTAGACAATTAAGTTTTATACGAATAATAACGAATAATATTCATGAATAATCTTCACAAATATTTCAGATCTTTTAAAATTATGTTAAGTAAATTAAATTCTTTAAAAAGTAAGATTAATTCTACCGTTTTCTCGCTTAGTATATTATTCTTTAATAAAAAGTTTGTTGATGCAAATTCTATGTTTGTAACAAATGTCTATATTCGCTATTTACAAACTTAAAGTTAATATCATAGATAAAAATATTTTATCTATGTGTAATACACTTATCGAAATATACGTATTACATACCTACTTGTTAAGTAAATTGAAGAAGATTAAAAGAAATATCTTTAGTCCTGTATGGCAAAAAATCCCCAAATATTACGACAGCGATTTACATGCTTATCGTAACCCACGTATATTGCACGAGATGCAGAGTATATGCCTATAGTATACGAGATAATATAAAACTACAAAGAATCACCAGTTGCGTTCCTTGAAATATATATACTCATCAGTAACGTGTTCAATGACGAAACTTGAGATTTTCATTTTTCCATATTTTCTTTTAGTCTTTCCACTATTTTAAATAGTAAAAGTAATACATACATTCACGTGAATTTTGAAAACTTGTTAAAACCCTTTCTCTATAATCCCTATTTTCTTAATAAAATTGAACAAACATTTAAGGTTGCCAAAACTTTTTAATAGAATAATAAACACAATAGGCTTGTTTACTTTCGCTGCACTTCTGAACTAGTACAATAAGTTAGAATATTCTAACT